TTTGGAATGCACAGCAGGTGTGCCAAGAAGGGAAAATCTGAAGGAACCAAAAGGAAAGGAGGGGAAACAACACAATAACACCAGGAGGGAGAAAGGACAACTGACAATTTTTCCTGTACTATCAAAATCTGTTATTTTATGAACACTTTATGGTTACTTTTAATATATTTAGACTGTCACTGCACTTGTGAAATTAGAAATTACTCTTTATAAAGTCATTTATATTAGGCTTTAAAACAACTAAATTATCATTTTTGTTCAACTGGATAGTTCCAGTGAAATACACAAATCTCAATAGGAAGAGAGAAACTGAAGTATTTATTCATTGCAGTGTTTGATTCTTCCTTTTTTCAACAATCCCTCAGTTTTGAATGCATTTATTTTAAATTTATTTCTCCAAACCACTGCCTATTAGAAGCAGCAATCAAATACCTGGACCATCAAATAGCTAAGCAAGGGAAATTAATTACTTAATTCACCAGGATTTTTGTCAAATTTGCATAAATACTAATATGGGGGGGAGAATACAAATTTTTTCAGAAAAGTTTTTTCTTACTACAGAAGCATTTCAAGTGTAGCTGCAAGATCCAAGTGTGCACATGAGGCAAGATGGGAAAAATCATGTAACACTTAGAAGTCTGAGATTATGAAAAAGATAACACTTACTGTTTTTATTATATAATGCTCATTTGTAAAAAGTTACTTCTAAACTGGGCTTTGAAGAAACTTAACCAACTGTCCATTCTCAAATCCTGAGGTACATAGGTATAAGTGATATGGAAGAATCATTACTTTTACACTGACCTAAAGATTAATCATTTCATCTTTCTGTCTTCTCAGCTGAGCAGTTGGTCCAATTGCCTGGGAAACAACCTGAACTCTCAGTGAACTTTGTTAACCAAACAACATATCCTCAGAGGTCTGGAGCAAAGAAACTCTCCAAATCTTGAACCAAGACAGTTTGGACAGTGTAAAAGTGTCCTACCCATTCTACTCCTCTTATTCAGAACACTGCAAGAAGTTTTGGTTAGAAGGAGCTTTTTCAGCTATTTTTAAACTTGTAATAAACTCACAATGAACTCACAGGACCGACCAAGGGAAAAGCAGCCACAGGAAACAGGAGAGACAAATAACAGCATCTCTTCCATCATCCTAATTAGCAACAGTACTGCATCTAAGGTGGAATTTGTTAAGCGCTTATCCTCCCTGTTTTCAAACTTCAGGGAAAGGCAAGGGGAAAAAGCCCCAGAGCCTGTCACATCACCGTAAAAAAAAAGACACTGCCAGCACTCAAATAATTGTTTATCAAAGGCTATTTAGTCTATTTAATTGGCAGCCTTCAGGAAAAAAAAAAAAGCTTGCCAGATTTACATTATTTATTATATGCGGAGTGACTCGCTAAAGTACTTGGAAAGGTTTACTTCCAAGTGGTCACCTACTTAGATCAAGCGTTAAATCACTGACTCTGTGGTGGTGTTTGTTTAGGTGGCAGCAGTTGAGCTGGACCAGCCTCAATGGCCCCTCGCTGAGGCCTCTGTGTGTGTGGCCCTTTCTCACCGCAGCTGTCTCGACACACAATTCCCACTGTATATACCGAGACCATTGTTATTTTAATGTCACTCCTACAGCCGACACTGTGCCCTCACCACCCCATAAACAGCTCCTGAGGGTACAGCGCCCAAGGCCCCGCAGTAAAGCCACCTGTCAGGAGGAAGATAAATCATGAAACAGTCCCAATGTTCACAAAACACACCCCAATTTCCACAAAACACGTCCGAATGTCCACAAAACACCCCCCCATTTTTAAAGGCATAACATTTTAGGCACAGCTGCATCAGCCTGAGGCACAGCTAGAACCAGTATTTATAAAACTCAAGACATCATTTTATCTTTGCCTGACCACCGTTTCAAAAAGATAAGTAAGAAAGCACTAAAGTCCTTATGGACTTCCCTTAAATTAGATTATTATTCTTATTCTGTTGCTTTTAACACTACATGAAACCGTGACACTACAAAATAAACACATTTCAGAGGATCTCACCTAAATCAGATTTCTGACTTGTGAGTTTTCCATCTATTTTAAAACAAAACCCATCAGCACTCATTCACTACATAAACCATCCATACACACAATTATTAAATATCAATCATTATAAAAATTATTTGGAGAGACAGGTTTGGTTTCATTCAGTCGAAATACTGCAGGAGGTAAAAGCATTTATTTTTAAATATCTAATTTTGGTGGGAGACATCAGTTCAGGGAAGGAACCTACTTGCTCATCAACTAAACAACAGATGAATCAGGCACCTTACTAAGTCATCAAATGTACTATAGTGCCAATGCAGGATAATTAGAATGCATTTTCCATTCCTCTGTCCAGTCCCTTTTTAAGGGATACAATGGGGCTTCCACCATTTTCTCTGGAAAACACTTGGTCAGTAAAAAAAATTTCCACATCAAAAAATATTCCCCAGTAATATACTTATGTTTTCCTTTGCTTAACATCATTCCATTGTTTTTATTTGCACTCTCATAGACCACCCAATGCAGTTTTGGCACATAATTAAATTTTAGGTAAGCAGAGCTTTAGCAACCTTTTCCAAAGGAGGTAAAAATTATTTCAAATATCACAGTTTGGTACAGCCATGAAAACAAAAAGTCAGTAGCTAGCACCTTTTATCATCATCCACGGACTACTACCAGTCATTAATCCAAAACTATTGATATTCTCTACCAGAAGACTGGAAAATGAAGATGTAACTGCATGACAAAAATAAAAAAAAAAATGAAAATAGAGTTATTCAGATTTATGCATCCTCTAAAACCCTGAACTTACATGCATATCTATAAATTATATAAAGAATACACATAAGAGTATTTCAAAAATCAGTAATCACCAAGCTCAAAGTTATGCTCAAGAAAATCAAGTGACACTGGTGGCACAACTAACTTTCAGCCAACGAAGATTAAATTACTCATCTGTAATTATACAAATACTACTTTTTAAGGCCGAAAAATTTTTAACACTCACTTCTGATGCACTACCAAATGACAAAATAATTTGTCATTTTTTATAACAAATTATATCTGTTTACTTAGTACTTATTCTGTACACGAAGAATTGCTGATGAAAAATTTCAAAATAATAGATAACTACATGAACTGAACTTGTCACTGGTTGCCGCATGAGAGGAGCCCCGAAGAGGAGATACAAGGACTCCCTGAAACAACATCTCAGCCTTGGCCATATTGATCAACATAACTGGTCTACTCTGGCCTCCAATCGGGAGGCCTGGAGACACACCATCTATAACGCTGCTGTCTCCTTCGAGAACACACACAGGATCACTCTCGAGGAGAAAAGGCAACGCAGAAAGAACCGTGTCTTGCAGAATACACCACCTAAGGAGTCTTTCTGCTGTGCCTTTTGCAATCGGATATGTCTGTCACGTATTGGCCTCATAAGCCACCAGCGTGCCTGTAACAAATGTGGATAGAGCCTTCCCAAATCTTCGTTCGCGAAGCCCAGCCATGATGATGACACGAATTGATAAGCATTTTATAGCTCAAAGTGTAACAATACATTTCAGAATTTCTGGGATTTTTAACTAAAAAGCATTACCTCAATTATTAAATACCAAGCAGAACATTCAGCATGCAAACACGACCAACCATGCATGTTTTTCTGTTATCTCTCCTGTTGTTTTATATCAAATGACAAAAATAATTTATAATTATAATTAAATTAAAATTCATTTTAAATAAATAATAAAATTTTAATAATAAATTAATTCTTAATGATCTTAAAGAATATTAATATCCTATTTTTTCCTGATAGTTTGATAGAATTTTCTCACCCTTGCCCTGCAACGAATTATAATTTGTTTATAATATATGAAAAGAGAAGGAGAAAATATTCATAATGACTAAATAAAAGATGTAAAGACAAAATAAGTACTGACAGGAGATAAACACTGAATTGAAGTCCTGTTTAAGTTGCAGAGCAGTTTGTCTACACTTCCTCTGAGGTAAATGTACATTTAGGTGAATGTCAGCCCTCTGGATGTACAGAGCCCAGGAAGATTAATTTCCTAATGTGATGTTGAAAGAGACAGATCACAAATACTTTCATAGATAATTTGCAAAACATTTGAAAACATATTCTATTAATCACGTGAAAGCTATTTCTATTCTTTAATTCTATTACTTAATTTTATATAATTGCTTTGGCAATTTTATTTGTAGGCATTACTTTAGTACATGAGTTAAAACTTTCACCCAAGAACTGACATCTTTTCTAGAAACACTCTCTTGACACCCAAACCTAAAAGCATACATAACAATCAGGGCTCTTTGCATTTTCAGTTTCTTTGGCCAGATTATTTCCTAAATTGACATAAAGATGTTTTCATACGATTTAATTTCTCATAAGCCTTCATTCATGGAAATGTGTATTATTTGAGCCCAGATACACGAACATACTTTGGCTTATTAAAATATAGAATGTATTTAATCTGTCTTCTATTTAGAATATATTATGTGTGACACAGACAAGAAAACTAGGATTCTTAAACTTACTGCTTTCATTTTCTAAGTACAATTTGGCCCTAAACTTGCAATACTGACCTAGATTCTGCGAACAGCACTCACAAACAACTCACAAGAAGCATCAAAAAGTGGTTTAGAGTCAATATGGCCTTGGGTAAATACACAGAAATACTGATAACACAGACTGGAAGATTTGTATCACTTAACCTTTGGCATCTCAACAGTCAAACTGGGCTGAAATTTCCTATATTGCACAAGGAAAAAGGCATCTAATAAAATATAATAAAGAAAAGAGGACAAACTAGTAGGATTATCTTAAATTAGCTTCTTCCTCAGAAAAGTTTTAACAACAAACCACAACCTGAAATAACCAAAAAGTGTCTACAGATACAGATTATAAGGAGATCCTTCTCACAGTTTGACAGGAAAATTTAAACTTTTAATTACTTACAGAGCCATCTTTCAGACTTCTTTCATAGGAGAACTGACACACCACATTTTCTTGATCTCTTGAAATCAGATAGTTGTATTTGCCAGCTGACTCTTCTCTAGTCACCAATGCTTTCTTCAGCTCTTCCACATACTTTTCCTTGTTCATTTCCATATCAGCAGCCTCCCTGGAAATTTCTGCTTCAGACACTATCAGAAAGAAACATGTGAGGAATAAATACGCACATGTGTGTGAACATGCATATATCATATATATTATTATCCATATCACAATATACATATATTTTATATATACTTATATGGACATACAGACACACACTGACTAGATCATCTTTAAGGTCCTTTCCAACCCAAGCCATTCTATGATTCTCTGAAATATTAGGAAACTATTCTTTCCTTGGCATACATCAGTGTGCCAGTGTGCCATTTCCACTAATGGAAATGTAGCAGGAATACTGTGTTTTTCATAGGTATTAAGTTCTGTCCCTTTTTTTTCCTGTCTGAAAATGGTTTATTGCTATTTGTCCTCAATTTTACTTGCCTAAAGTCACTCTGAAAAACATTAATCTTTCACCAAAGATAGACAGATATAAGCAAATTAAAGAGAGGATCTGTATATTGTAATTCAGGCTTTGATGTGCAGCCTACCAATACAGTATTTTAGATTGTTTACTTGATTAACAGAACTCTTTCCTTTTCCTCCCAACAATCTTCTGTGGAAGACTGCTCTGGATTGTCATTTACTCCTGCTTGCTCTTATTTTAACCATGAAATAAATGTTGTCAGAAAGGCTTAAGACTTCAACAAGACTTCTAGCATTTGCCCAGCATTTAAGAGAGTAAAAGACATTACTTCATGAAAGCCTTAAAACAAAAGAAAAAAACCCCACACAAACCAAAACAAAAAAGCAAACAAAACCACCAAAAACCAACCCAAAACCCAACAAAATACATCCTTCACAGAACTGCAAGTATCCCACTCAAAAGCCCTATTAATAGTTGAATGTCTTCTCTATATAAATGCCTTTAAAAATAGTTTCATACCGAGACATAGAGTCTGTACATGTATTGAAATCACACTGACAGAAATAGAACAGCATTTCAACCAAACATGAGCCTCTTCATATTGCCTCATTTTTCTCCAGTCTTCTCAACACAGTAGCTAAACTTGTATTGTCAAGTAGTGTGAATCAAATCAATCCATCATAAAAACACAACAAAGAGGCAAATGCATAATTATTTGCTATAAATAGTTATAGCCTCACACATTTCAGGATTTCTGGATTTGTTGTGCACCTGCAGGAATTTTAGCTTATTTTCACCAGTTTGTGATGATCTTAGAGGACCCAGCATTGAAACCCTTGCCAAAGACAAAATAAATAACATCCCCTGCCTTCACCTCATGCAACAAGTTGTTAATTTCAGAAGAGGTTACTGGATGGGTCAGGCATAATTGCACCTTTATAAATCCACACTGACTCCTCACTATCTTGTTCTTAGTATTTTTCAAAATGGTTTCAAGACTTTTCCTCCAACATCCTCTGGCTGACCAGACTCCAGTTGATTAAATCAATCCCCTTACCCTCCACAAAGATGGGAGAAATATTTCTTCCGGGAGAAATATTTCTTCCAGCCCTTAAAAATATCTCCTTAGAACCATTACTCTGCAATAGAAACAAACTGCTTTAGAGTTATAAGTGAAAAGAAAACAGGAAAAGAAAAAAAAAGAAAGAAAGAATGGAAATACGCTCAACAAACACAAGTCAGTCAGCTTTTGTCACACTTAAGATGTGCAATGGCAGGCCTCTGGCAGTCTGAAGTCTGTCACAAAGTCTTCCATATTATTCTTAAGAGAAAATGCTTAAAAATCAGTATTTTCTGCTCCTCTCTTCTTTTAAGGTACAAGAAGAAACCCTTCAAACTCATACAAGCCTAACATAAAGTAAAAGGACAAGGCAGGATACACAGCATTTTACCAAATCTGCAACGACACAAACATTCAGCAGATATCAGAAAATGCAGAAATGTTATTATACGTCACATCCTATTACATAATATCCTATATAAGATATAGCAGTGCTGCGGAACATGCATTAGAATAAATGACAAATAAAATATTTTTAAAACTTATTTGAAGCATAAAATAAATGTTGTCAGAAAGGCTTAAGACTTCAACAATTGCCAGTTGTATCTTGATTTTTTTCAAAACTGAAAGCAGCACTTCTATTTTTCATATGTAGAATGATACAGTGGAACTACTGTCAGGAAAAAAGCTAAACCCACAAGCCAAGGAACAATTTCAGCTACACTCATCTTGCAGAGTTAACAATCTACATATAGAAAGAACCAAAACATTTTTATGAGGCAAAGAGGGGCAGAAAAAAGTAAGTTTGAAATACTGCAAAAACAAGTGTTTGTCCAGAATAGTGATTTCAACACTGAGAATAATTTATGAAAACTTTTAATGAAAATAAGGAAGTTATAAAAACAATAGAGCACTGTGGGTTTTTTCTCCTGTGGTGCCTGTACAGTGCTTCATGTTCCTTTATCTTATAAAACCAGCAGACCTGATCAATCATTAGAGAAACACGAAATGTATAAAACCATAGAGCTGCAGTCCTTTAACCCAATACGAAGCTTATACATTATATTATGTTGCATATTTTTGTGCTTCCCCTCCCCTCCAACATTTACTTTTTTTCTCCTCTTCTTAAATAGAACTCCTAACACTTTTCATCATCACATTAAATAGACAAAATCCATAGAAGACAACTCCATCAGCAACTTTCACTCACTTCCTGGTAGGTCTTGCCAAGCAAAATAATCCACAGCTTGAGAAACCGAGAAGGGATTTCCCACAGCAAGAATATTCTGGCCATTGCTTTCCCTCCTCCCAGTTTAAAACCTAAGTAGCTTCAAACGTGACGTAATAACTTTAAAAAGTGACCAAAAACAATGCTGGGTGTATGAAAATACAGATCTGTGAGGTAGGAAAGCCTCTTGCACAAAAACATCAACTCCTAACGAAACTATTCAAGGGTCTACAAATGAAATTATTCAAGGGACTACAAATTCAGTAAGAATTCCTTAGAAATGGATCAGATTCTTATAGAAGAAGCAGAAGTACTCTCCTTTGGATGAGTACCCAGAGCTCAAGCTACACTGTTGTGGGTCTCTTTCTTTCCTTTTAATAGAGTGAGGTCATCCTGCTTTCACTGGCCCTCTGTTTTGGGAAATGGATTATCTAGCCATTCTGCCAGATGCAGGAAGTTAACAAAATGAGAACTGTGTCTATGCATTCTTTCTATAGGTTTCCAGTTATAGGGACATAGCTTTCACTTAGGAAAATAAGAATTGGCTTTCTGTAAATTTAAACTGAGAATTTAAAGTCATGTAAGAAAAATGAGAAGACCTTTTAAACAGAAAAATTAGTATGTACAATTAGTTAAGTATTTATTAGTGTTAATACCCTTCTTGTTATTTTCAAAATATTAATTTCACTATTGTTAAACCAAGAAAGAAAAATCTTTCATGCCAGTCTACAGGGAATCAGGATTGGAATACATGTATTTTTCTTGTGTAGGAACTCCTGATCCTACAGGAGTGAAATGTTAAAAGGAATATGGAAGAGCAGATTTAATTTATATGTAGACACATATACATACATATATCTACATATATATCTCTAAATCTCTGTATATATAAAGATCTCAGACCTATCTCAGACCTGCATGAAGGTTTGATTTATGTAGGAGAAACTGCACAGAAACAACACCCACTGGACAAGGAGAAGGAAGGAAGCAACTACACAGACATATACTTTCATAATTCAGATATAGAGTCTAGAAAATATTTTTGCCCATAATACGCTGTAAAATATATAATTCCCACCCTTGAAATACTTTTGCCACTGAGAGAAGGGTTTTTGATCAAGTATTTGACAGATTTCTCACGGAACACACAAATCTTTCCTTTTTTCTTTAGATGTTAAAGAGAAAAGCATTCACATATGCAGAGATCCATCCTCTTATTCAGGTTTGAGTGGAGGAAAAAAAATCCAACAGGCTATTTTTTATTTGATTCTTTTGATAACTTATTGTCCCTTCTCCTTACCAAAAATTCACCTCAGTACCAAATATAGTTACCTTCAATTATTAAGATTTTAGGAAAACATTTCATAAACATCTTCAACTAAACACTTCATGAACTCTTAATTTGGAAATGGAACTTGCACCAACATTTGCTCAGGAATCTGGAGAAGATACATAAGTGGTACTCCAGTATCACTCCAAGAAATTATATATTCTTGAGAAAGAACAAAACATTGCATATCCATGTCCTAAATCAATTAGCATTAGCTTTGACACTCCTTTTTCCAGATTTGAAAGTTCTCTGGTCATGTCCCAGTATATCATGAACCTCCCCTCTCCATTAGCAGGGACAGGTAACGCCCATAAAATAGTTCTGTGATGCAAGCCATGGTCACTGTGGAGGACGAGGAAAACAAATGGAAAAGATTCCAGAAGTGGCATGAGATTTACAGAAATTGAGGGACAATACAACAGTATTGTTCAGTACCTTCCCCCAGAACCCTATACAAGCCAGTGCATCCCCACAATAAACTTGCAATAGCTCCAGACCTTCTACCTTGTCAGAACCCCTTTGTGCTGTTGTCCTCCCAGCTACAAACCCAGACCATGGCAGGTCACAGTTTAAAAAGTGTTTAAAAAGAGTAATATAACCAGTAATAATTTAAATTAAAATATTTTTTCTCTCTATCCATCATTACCTGTCCCAGCCCATGAGAACTGACCATCACTAAGAAGTATACCGAAGCCAGTGCCTAAATCCTTTTCCCATGATACTTGTAGGAAGTAGGTTGCTTCTGGATCAGAAACCAGATGAATTCTGTTCAGAATCTTCTCCATTTTCCCAGCACCTGTTTAAAAAGATAATCTTGTTATTTCCCATGGGGTGCTTAACAGCTCTACATAACTAGTATGGGAGTTGGAGGGGGAATATACAAACTTAAGTATGTTTGTAATTTTATTCTATTTTCTTTCAGTTTGTCAGAGATATTTACAAGCAGAAAACTGAACTATAATAAGTAAGGTTTAAAAGAACAGTGTCAACAATTACATATATTTGAATTAAGAATTCAAATTAAGAAGCTGTCAGAAATTACAATACACAAGCACTCTCTCCATGGCTCTGTTTTTAACTTGCCATCACCCAACGTACAGCACATTTAATATAATTCCAAGTAATCAATATTCATCTGGAAGACTATCACATGAAAGCTGCACAGAGTGTAGCAAATGGCAGCAACCCAGAGAAAATATTTTAAACACTGGGTGCAGTGGAAAACAAAATATATGATGTTACAGTGAATTTTTGCTCTACAGCAAAGCAACCTGGCAACCTGTGCTTGACATAAGACCTTCTAAGGATTTAGAAGGTATATATATATAGTTTAATATATTACATATATATTTATATATAGTCTAATCTGACTGAGTGATGTGACTGGTAAAAGGTTACATGTTCACCCACACCCTAAAAATAGCATGTAAAAGCAGCAAAAACACAACTGAGGTATTTAAACTGCATCTACTGAGTACAATGATGCTCAGACAAGTTGGGTACGAAATGCTCTATCAAGTTTTCCACCTAAAGTGTAGCAATAAATAATCATGATCAAGATCAGTTCAGGCCCTGAGGGGACTCTGTTCTTCAAGTGGTAGTAGAAGGAAGTTCATTCTTTGCTCATGGACATTGAGAGCCAAATCTAGATACAGATTTAACTACATCAGGCCTCACCAAAACTTGGCATTTTCATGTTGGGAGGAACAGTTTTAACTGTAGTTGACTGTCTTGTGCCTGATTTGTCCAGCTCAGCACACTTTAATATTTGAAACTCATCCCAGACAAGTGCACAGTATTCAAAAGAAGCAAAATATGTAACACTTTGTTTTCAAGCATAAAGCTTTACTATTTCCATCCATAAACCACCAGTGTGTTTACTACTACAGATGTCATACTCCAGCTTTTCATTCCCTGCAAATGCACCAGAAACTAAAATGTTACTCAAAAACAATATAGAAAAATTAGTTTGTGTCAAAAAAGAAAACAAACAAGTTTTCTATTTTCATCATCAAGCAAATGGCCACTTCCGAAAACCTACAGCATGTCTGTGCACCTCTAAGCAAGAAAAAAATTAAATATTTGGGGCATGGACAACTGGAACAACGCCTCTGTAATTAGTGATTCTAGAAATACAGACATTATAAAGATTTGTAGGGCATTAAGTGGCTGGACATGGGTCAATAAAGAGCACAGGGAAGGAAAAACAAGTAATTGATAAAGCATGCTCAAGCACACAGACATGTATTTTCCTTTGCCTGTCAGATTCCCTTTTGGCTTTTGCTTATTCTGGAAAAATACAATGAAATATTTTCATAGAAGTCCTTCTCTGAAAGACAGTGTTTTTAAAAAGACTCCAATTACTCTTTTTTACTTAAAGGTTGTAGCACACAACCCCGACAGACAGCACTCAAGGTAATGATGCATATATACAGTCCAATGGGGAGGTTTTGCTTGTTTTATTTGATTCTTATGACAAAGCAGAGTATCATTCAGTGAAAACCACCTGCACCAGAGGCTTTGTTGTTAACACAGACTGTTTATAACAGAAAACAAAGCAACAGAGTTAAATTTTCTGTTTATATAAAGGCAGTGAAGTGTCAGTCCTGAGTCAGAAAACAGGTCAGGAGTCATACAGCAAAGAAATCTATTTATTTAAAGATGCACTAACAAGGTTTTTAAGGCCTGAGACTAAATTAATTTGATATAATAATATCCCATGACTTCACCTTCACACAACAGTATTTTACTGGAGTGATATGGAATAGGTAAAAATTAAGATCCTGTTTAGACAACATCTGTAAGAGGTCACCTACCAGTGTAATGTTAATAGAGCTGAGAAAGCCCCCCACACAACTTGTACACCTGTGGTAAAGCACAACCTCAATGAAAACACACTGAGGAGACACACACAAAGCAGAAGAATGTTTCAAAATAAATGCAAAATACAGTTTTCCTGCTTTTCTATGTTTTACTGTGTGTCTCTGAACAATTTTACCAGACAGCATAAAATGAAGATACTTTCTCCCAGCTTTTATCTCCTCCAGTGTGCTCACTGACCTTTGGAAAGGAGTATTTCTTATTACTTCATGTTTAGAAACTGCCTCACTAAGCAGAGCTCAGCTTGGCTTCACATCCCCAAGCATTCAAGTGTTCCAACCCATCAGCAAAAGCTTAAGGGTTCTTGGCTGTATATAATGTATTAATGCTCAAAATGGTTAAAAGAGCCACCTGAATTTTGTGAGTCTTACTATTTACCAGTCCAGCTGCTGGTAAAGATTGTCAAAAAAACATAAAATCATTGCATAAAAATAGATTATGTTTTTATTGCTACTCAATAAACTAAATTATTGAAATCAGACTCATTATTGCAGTCTAAAGAGCACCTCTGAATCCATTAGGCCAGAGGAGTACTTTCAAGTGCCACTCAATATTCACCAATGCCATGTCTGTGGGCTCTTTCCCTTCACTGTCTCAGTAAAATGGGAGCAGCCAGTACTTTCTTCCTTCTCTTGATTATGACAAAGAAAACCTGCACAACACTGACGTGCTAGGGCCATAAGAAAGCCAGTGTTTTACTCCTGAAGGGCACAGAGGGTCACACAGAACACCAGCACCTCACCATGCCAGAGCCAAGGACCCAAGACTTGCAGGTGGGAATAGTCAAGTCCCACCCCAAGTCTGTAAATCAGAGGCTTTACTGAGGCCTTTGAATAGTTGGAGATTGAGCTGTTTATCTTTAGCACTTTGTCCCTTTGGTCTTTGGCTTCCATAATCTACATTAGGCAATGTTTCTTTCTGAGGAGAAATCACTTGTTGGCTGGTGCCTCTGCTCTCAGAACAAACACTGCACACAGGGGCTTCTGAATAAACAAGACACTTTTAAAACTGGTTTACAAAGGATTTTATATGTTGCTTTGGATAGCACTAAGCCCACACCAAAAGCCAGATCTTTCAGGCTGCTCCAACACAGCATCATTGATAATATTTTGAACTTCAGCACTTTATTTTTTTTTCCTCCATGCAGACTAATGGCTTTTTTTTCAAATTGCTTGGGTTGCAGGTGTTTCAAACCTCAGCAGCTATGCATGAAAGGCTACTTACAGACCAGAAAGAGCTACTATGTCTTTGAAAGGGAGCAATTAACTTAAGTGCTTTCTTATTAAGAAAAATGGGAGTTCAGAATAGAAGACCATACACTGCTATTAAAGCCTAAAGTTTGATCCCTTCTGACCAGAACAACTACTAATCAGAATCCAATAATCAGAAGGAAGTTAATAGTTAATTTATAATCAGAGAACAGGTGCTGTTCAGGAGATCCTACACATAATTATAAGTCAATAATTGCAGAGTTAAACCAATCAAGAAAAACTCAAGATTGCTTTTAAAGATTAAAACTAGCTATCACCATGTTTTCTAACAGGAGGAAATAAGATAATACCTATATTTATGCATATTTCCAGTTTTATATTTCACAGAAATTTATATTCTCGCTTGTTAATTTAAAATTCCATTAACTCAAATACTTCAAGAGAAAGAGTATTAAAAGACCTGACAAAAACTTCAACTCTGACTGCATTAATCTTAGAACTACTATTGATTCAATAGAGACTTCCTCTTCTTTCTTTTCTTTTTGAAAGAACACGATTGGGCCAACAAACATGAAGAAAACAATACAGCATCTTTCTTGTCCCATCTCACAAAAAGCTTCCCATCCCCTTGGCCACAATACTTGTCTGACACTGAAGAAAGCCTCAAAAATAGCCTTCATCTGTAACTTAAAGATAAATCTGAATACCAAAGAAGAGAAGAAAAAATTAGAAAGAGCTCTTTTTTCTAATGAAATTTAGGGGGCTAAGGCATCTTTATATTACATGCATCCTAAATTATATCTAGTGGTTCTTTTAAATTCACTCTATATTAAAAGCACAAGGATTACAATTTTGTCAATAATGCAGCTCTGTCTTGAAGATAAATGAACCAAAAATTGGTACTGGATGTGAAGCAGTGACTGAGTGGGTTTATAACTTTGTGCAGGAAAACGGGCCATTTTAAAAATTTGGTCCTACATGGCAATATTTGATCAAGAGATCATAGACTGAACTAAAGAATCAAGGCTCACATGGCTCATATTTGCACTGCTTCCTTCCCACTGTTTCATGGCAGCCACAAAAGGATTGGAAACATACACATACTTTTCTGTGCAATTGTTCCCTCCAAAAAAAACCCAAAACCAAAACAAACAAAAAAAAAGAACAAAATAATGATAATAAAAAAAAAAATCAGTCTTGAGCTTGTCAAACCCCATGGGACAGCAAGATACAGAAGATTTGCCACAAAAGATGTGGAATACATGATAAGGAACAACCCCTGTCAGGCTTATTTACTACAGTCACCAGCTGAAAAATGAGGAGAAACAGAAGGAAGCAGACAGTCAACAACCTTTATAGTACGAATCTTACTAAAAAGCCTTGATCTTAATTGTAGCCTGGAGGCAAAGCCCACCCTGGTGTCTTTCATCCCATTGAAGTCTCAGGCCTAACCCACTACCCACTCCAGGCATCCAGAGTTGCCAAGTTTACTTATGAGCATCTACATTAAGCTGTAATAAGGTTAAAAAAAAAGGCCTTCAATGTATTAAAATAAACACCCAAGTGGGCAATTATACTAGTAAATACTAGCAAATAAGGGAATACCCAGATAGCTTTTTATAAAAGGGACAAACCTTTCTTTTTCACCCTTTTCTACCAGTTCTTCCCAACGCTAACAGTTCAGTGTGCTGGCAAATCCTCACTTTCTAACATCCAAAGATAAACCAGGAAACACTGTTATAAACCTGTAAACAGTAAAATAAAAATAAAATAAAGTCATGCAATGAACACATTTACTGATGAAAAGGTTAATATTTGTGGTAAAGTTACTAAAACGTGTGCATAGAAGGGAGCAAAGATGAAAGATAACAACCAGACCAGCTTCCAGAGGGCAGATCTGGGATGAAAAGTCAGCAGATGTGTCTCAGAGACCCAGACTCCCCTACTTCATTGCCTCTGGGAGACACAAGTCCCAACAAATCCTTTATAACTTCACCCTGGCTTTCCAAGGTCCTACCAAAGCCAAGGTGGTATAGTGCCTCCCCTTGAAAACCTTAGGCTATTTATTAATAAGATAAATGTGTCTCAAAAATAACTCACCTCCCCATTTAAATTAAAAAAAAAAAATCAATATAAGCATATATCAACCTCCCCCATAATCTCTCTGAAAAGACAGCATTAAAAGTGTTACAAGTTTTGCAGATAAAAAGCAGAAAAAGGAAATTTTGCCAGATGCAACTTCTAAGCCCAACGTATTCAATCAGTAAAAACAAAGATATGACAATTTCAAGTATCTTAGACGTATTTTTAAAACATCTCTGCAGTGCTCAGTAATACAATATTACGTATTTGAAGACAGTACAATTGAGGAATTTTTTAGGGGAGGGGAAAAAAAAAGCAGCATGTTTTAATCATCCTTTGTTCATCCAAAAATACTCCGATATGTATGTTTTTTGATGTATATTTGGATAACACAGTAGTCTGGTTGAGGTATCATCTGTTTTCCAAAACACTGCCTTCTTCAGGATTAAATATTATCAGGATATTCAATAGAAATCTGTCCCACAGACTTCCTTTGTTTTCTACTTTTTAGTCCCCATAGTATGATCTCGCTGTTTCTGTAAACACATTAAACTTAACATCACTGAGTGACAGATTCCACTAAAATCTGCCTTTTTCTTTTTTAATTTTTCAGTCTACTAAATTCAGTACTACTGAATCCACAGTAGCTCCATAGACAAGAGTAATAAGTCTGAAAAAAAGATAAATGAAACAAAGAAATCAGTGTGTCAGGTAAATACGTATGGGCATAATTCTGCATGTAAGGTTTCTGAGATTTGAAAAATTGAGCCCAGTAACCTGGAAAAATAAGTTTCACCAAATGTAGCCACTTCAGTGGAACAAGGGCAGGTATAAATGTGAAGCCTTACACATCCTCCCACCTCTACACCTAAGACTTTTCAAAGAGATGGATTATTTTAATTTCACGTCCCTGTCAAATTAATAATAAAAAATGGGCTCAGGCTCTAAATTGCTTCATCTTGCTAAACTGTTTCCTAAGGCACTTTCTTTGAAGAAAATTCTGCATTACCCAGTCTTCATTTAACGAAAGTTTTATTATGTTTTTCTTTCCATTCACTATTTATCTACTGGAAAAAGGCAACATTGAGCTCCCTGAAAACAAAGAGCTCACACTACTTAAATTTATTAATTTAAAAACTGTAATTCACTTTGTTTTGTCTGACCCACATGAAAAATAATTCACAAGATGTTCACAACAGAGTTATTCACTTTCGATGCACTTAAATTTAAGTGCCATGTTTGTCACTTGGCATTGAACATTAATTACTTTTCTGATGGATTAGGCGGAGTTTGAAGATAAGGCAAAGAGACATATACACTGAATACCTATTTCACTTGTTTCCACAGCCACCACTTTAGCTTAGGCTTTGTGATAATGCACACGATAATGCACACGTAACCAACCAAAACAGGGCAGAAGCACCAGTACACAAATCCCATAACCTCACTAAGCACTGAGTAAACAAGAACCTTTGTTCTAAGAAAAAAAAAAAAATAAAAAAATAAGGACACAGTTCCACAGAAAATTCAGTGGCCACTGAATTTACACCCTGAGCCATCATTTATGAATCTATGAGCTTGTAGTGAATCAGAACTTCAAATAAAAGCCACATTCAGGGAGGAAAGAACCCACAAAGAGCTTCACAGGAGTCCCTTGTGCTTTTTGTATCTTAAGTTCTGTACATAAAAAATATAAAGCCTCTCCAGACACATCAGCTCACTGCTTTTCCAAGCAATTTTCATAACTCTTTCATGTGATAGTTCTTACTGTGGACTAGGAAAAAAAAGAAAAAAAAAAACAAACCAACAAAACCCTTCTCAAAAATTTAACCCTTACCCAAGACACTTAATGCCAAGCGGGGAGTCTACTTCAGGAAACCAGCTTTTCAATATTAGTTTTGCCTCACATCTACTAAAGAATTCTTTAAATGAAATCTGCACATGACACAGCAGGGACACACCAGGGGAAAAATGCCACTGACACTTGAGCTGAGAGGGCAATTAAGCACTCATTAGGAAAATCCAGCATAAAAGTGCTTTGACACTCTACCAGTTACACAGAGTTTTGAGATCTTAAAATGTAAAGTCTGAAGCACCAGAGGAGTCTTAGGGTGCTGTGTTAATGATGTAAGCCTAGGAACTCAATTAATGCAGGTATACATGAGTATAAAAAAAACAAAAGTGTTTTGTGCACAAACTCTTTGTGCACAAGAGTCACTTCTCCACAGCCCAAATAAACTGTTTCAGTGCAGTTTTAGGTAAAGTACTCCCACAATACATTTTCTTCTCTTTCAATGTTACAAGTTTCCCTTTTTTTCTTACCATCAAAAGGGCCAAAATCACAACATGAATCTGAAATTAATGAAATATATATATACAACATAAATTATATAAGTATATATACACACTATGCAAAATATACACATACTATACATATACTATTAATATATACTTTAAAAATTCCTCCTCTACCTCTTTATTTAAAGAAAATTAAAAAATATTTTTAGGATAGTCAAGGTTAATAAAACAAATCTGTGGAACAGCCAAGATTTTAAAAAACGATGAAATACAAAGCACATTTTTCACCTATAGACTTTGACAAATACAGAGGGAAAAAAAAAAAAACCTTTTGTCTAATACTTCCTTCAGGAGATTTAAGTCAAGTAGGTTCATTACCAAGACACACAGGATGCTTCACCTGGTTCCTTGCCTCTTATCTCCAAAAATAATTATGTCAGCTTTCACCAAAATTAACATTTCTGCCCAGGCCATGCTGGATTCTGCAAATTAACAACCAGTTTTTCAGTTGGGGTAATTTAATTTAATATAAGCCCACACAACACAGTTGGCTGCCTCCAAGGACCATTGTATCTTTGCTCATTGGCTCAGCCAGGCAAATCCCTCCTCAGGCTTTTGTGAGGTTTCCACCTCAGGCCTGACACAGCTGAAGGCATTTGGAAAGCCCCAGGCTCCCTCTTTCCTGTCCAGCTACTGTGCTGAAAAGGGTGGCCACTATAACCCCTTTGTAGACTTGTAAACAAACAATCCTTTTCATAATCATTAGAATAATTTTAAAAATACAATCAAAAAACCACCAAAACCAAAAACCAAAACAAACAAACAAACAAAAACAAATGAAAAAACACCAAAAAACAAACCAACCAAACAAAAACAAATGCAGGCTGTGATAGGATATATAGCCTCACTCTTCCTCTAATTATTTCTGCCCCAAGATAGCCAGCAATTTGGCTGATGTCTAGATCAAGGGCACAAGAGTTCTCAGTCTCTCTGCTCTTAAAATCACACAATATCGGTCTCCCTTTGTTACTATTTATGTCACAATCTCTGCTCTATCTCTCTGCTCAGTTGGAGGATACCCCTTCACAGAAAACTCAGCTGAGAGTCTGCAGAGGAGATGCAGAAATATCCAGTATTCTTCCATGCTTTGCAAATTTGGTTAATTTAATCAAGAAATATTTTGTGAAATCACTAGTCTGCCTTAAGAGACAGTAACACCAGAGGCCCTTGCCCAGACACACACATACAATGAACCTTCTTTTTCCAACTTGGAACTTTTCCTGTAAGACGTGTTCTTCGTGTTGATCAGATTTGACTCTGTTAGATCAGCAAACAACAGTAATTTGTTTTGTAATTATTTTCTACATTTTGCCTGAGCTCGTGTCAACAGGGTACTAAACATAATTCAGTAACTCCTTTGTGTCTTGACATATCTTGGACACCAGTCCTTTACCATTACATTATCTGATACAACATTCCACTCATAATCTTCAAAATCACAGTAGGTTTTTTCCACCTTCCCTTTTTTTCCACCTCATCTACAGAGATAAAGGAGGTGGGGAAGACTAAAATCCACAAAGACATCCTGATTATAATTAGCAGGAGTTGAAAGCCACTGTTTCTTAACCAAGGAAAAGGATACAGCTCAAGTCAGGGATGGAACTAGAGCAAACTCCATTTTTGGTGGGGAAAAAAATATCATTTCAAGACCCATTTAGTAGCATTTTACAACAGCTGTCTAAATTAGACTCTTGGTTATCTAATGAAGTTAGTCCAGATCATAACTCATGCACATGATTTTATGTGTTCCACACAGTATCAACAAGCACCCCACATTTTTGCCAGGTATATCAATGAAGAAATCACAGCTGCTTCCTGTTAACCTTGAAGAATCAGGTAATAACTGGAGTCCCTGAAAACCTCACCCCAGACTCTGGGTGATTCCACCCACTCTTCAAGGACCTGTGTTGCTTTTTCATCTGGGGCTCCTGAGCTCTAAAATAACCCCTTAAAAAACAACCTCCACCTACTGCTAATCCCTAGGTGACAAGAGCGAGGGATTAAAATTTTTCATCCTCAAGTGGCACTGAAAGATAACAAGCACATCAGAAACAGGCACAGAGACAAAACAGCAAGTGACCCTGCAGGACTCGTGGCACATCCATGAGCACAATAATCTGCAAGGGATTTAACCCAGAAGCTCACCAGAAACTACTGAAGCAGGAAAAAAGTATAAAAAATTTATCATATAGGGCATGTTTGTAAACAAAACTACACTAGAGGAACCTAGGGGACAACCTGAAAGAAGGTTGTGGTGTGACCATGCACTGACAGCTGGACTCTCCTTGGACGTCACAAGAAAACTTTTTGAGTAGCTAATTCACATTTGAGCATCCAAAAGTGAATCGAAA